GGGGGGGGTTGACGGCGGAGGATAAGGTCGTCGGAGCCAAGGCCGCCTTGACTCCCCACGCCGCCGCTGAACCCGGCTGAACTGCCGCGGGTGCATCTCGTAACTCACAACAGCGTCGTCGCCTCATGTTGCAGGAGGCTTTAGGGACGCCCCCCTCCCCTCCGCGGAGCTCCGCGGCCGGGCAGAGCCGGCAGAGCTGGCAGAGCCCGTGGCGGCAGCCGCAGCGACAACAAGCTCAATAGGGTTGTCTTGTCACCTCCGAGGGCTCGCGACCGCGGCTACGACGTCACAGCCCGCCGCGCCCCGCCACGCCCCGCCACGCCCCGCCACGCCTCCGCTGGTGGCGGGCAGCAGAGACGCGCAGCGGCGCGGTCAACGGCGAACCACGCTCTGGGACTTCCTGTCTCGTAATTTGGAGAGGGAGAGAAGGGAGGGGGGGGGGGAGGTGAGAGCGATGGGTAGAGAAAGAGAGATGCGAGCACGGGAATGAGGAGAATGAGGGAGGGGAAATAAGAAAAGCCTGACGTCCGAGAGAGGACTGCTTCAAACGGATCCTCTCTATCGCGTCCACATTGCTTGGCATCCACCACATCGGCGGGGCGTGGAGGAGCATTCCTGGCGAACCGTCAAGTTGAGGAGGAGGAAGAAGAAGGGCGACTTCTTGACGTGCTCCTGCGGCCGCCGGCTGACGCTCTTCCCCGCCAAGGGGGAGGGAGTGCCACCGAGTGCCACCCCTTCGCGCCCGTCCTCTCTAGATTGATGGCGTCAAGTTGTGTGCTCGCACCTTAGCTTCCTTGGGGGCCGCGGCCCCTCTCCCCCCTTTTCCCCTCCCCATTACCTTCTCTCCTCCCTCTTACTCCCCTCCACGACCACCACTGTTCTGGAGTAACCATCTTGGCCAGCGCCACGAGTGATCTGCGCGATGAGCTAGAAGCCTTTAGAAGCGGTGTGGTTCTGGTAGGTCTGGCGCGCGCAGGAAGAGCCCCAGTCACTGACCAGGATCAATCCCAGGCTGGTCCTCTCTGGCCGGCCCTTCTTGGCGCTCTGGCCGCGTCGCGGTGGCGGTGGCGTCCCCGGGGCCGGGCCGGCGCCCGCAATATGTGTCCGCCCTCGTAATCAACATCCTTCTGCAGCGTCCCCCGCGTCCCCGTGCCGTCCCGTGCGACAGCAGGTGACGGCTCTTAATCTCGCGGACGTTCGTAGATCTCATTTCCGCCCCTTCCCCTTTCCCCCGCGTGGCCCCGAGCTGCAACCCCTCGTGGTGCAATCAGGAAGGAACAACCCCTCCTCCTTCCCCCTCTCCTCTCCAACGAGTCCCATGGGGTGCTGGGGCAGAGTGAGAGAGTGCCACCGAAAAATTACCCAATCCTTAGCCTTCCAAAAATTTTCGAAACTTGCCTGCATTCGCAACAAAATTCATGTCTAAAGTCCCTCTATCCCCTCCTCTGTCCTCTGGTTATTCTTGTGGACGATCGTGCACAGTATCTCTTCGTCGTCCCGATATTTTTTCTTCTTCCGTGGCTAATCATAACAACGCCTCATCACATCCCGCCATCGCCCCATCCATCTCAGACGAAAAGGGTTAGAAAAAAAAAAGCCGGAAGAAAATCTCATAGGTCAGACATGTTCGCAACGCAACGTCACGAGCAGTGCTTTCAAGTGTTGAGGCGAAGAGACAACGGTTCGGACAAAGCTAAAGCATCTTGCCGTCCTTGCCTTACTTTTGACGTGCGCCGACTATTCGTGTTAGTTTCTGTTCTTGTGGTGTTTTGTTTCGCAATCGAGGGTATTCCATAAAATGCACTGGTGTGTGTTTCGTATTATTTCGAACTGCCGGTAAATTGTTTGCAAGATGTCTATAATATTATTTTTAGTTTCACCATGATTATTTTACAAAATGAGGACTTAAAATGCATTTGCCCATAACGATGTCTTTCACCGGGTGCCGGTGCCCGCGATCAAACGTGCCACAGTACAGAACTTTCATCTGCCCAGCCGGCAGTTGCGGCCGCCGTCAGTGTGTGCAAGCACAGTGGCACAGGCGCCCAAGGAGTTGCCTATCTTTTGGGCGACAGGTGGCACGATACGTCCCCAGCTCGAGAGTTTAGACGACCACAACTTGTGGGCCAATCTTGGCCTATGGAGCGTGCCCGGCGAGATTTGGCAGGAGGCGGAAAAGAGGCTGGCTGTGACATGCAATAGAAACGTAATGGCGATCTAATGAGGCATTACCTGCGGAGCGGAGCAAGCGGGGGAAGTGAAGAAAACTGGGAGAAAGAACAATCTTTAAAAAAAAAAATAGAGGGAGGAGATCTCGGTGTACTGAATTAGGAGGATCCAGGAGACCGCTAGGACAACGGCCTTGTCTTGCAGTCGGGCCGTAAGTAGTTTGGGAAAAGTTCACGAAGGATCACCTCGCAGCAGAGATCAGCTCTAGATTTGAGCGGATGGGGATTTGTAGTAGCGAGCCCGCCAAAGCCCTGACCCGGCACCTGGCAGCTCAGCCTGACTTCTAATGAGCGTGGCCCTCCGCGGGATGGTCATGTCGATGTCATCAGCGTCGAAAGCCTAAAGCAAGAATAAATATTAGACTAGTTATTGAGTGATATCTGATTTCAAAAAACTACTCAATCGAAGTTAACCGCGTTAGAGGTACTCTGTTTAGAGGGAACGAGAACGGCCCCCCTCGTGAAAAGGACTTCCCCGTCTAGTTTGGTCAGTTTGACGTCAAACTTCGTCCGCCTCTAATCCAGCTCCAGCTGCCTCTTTGTCCCGGGCCTCGCGCCGCCGTGACTTCACGTCTTCACGTGTACAGCACTTCGGCCCGTCCGGACGCGATGCACGGCAGGTTCCTGGGTTCCTCCTGTGATCGGCCGGCCGAGTCGCGGGCCGCTCTCTGGCGGCCGGCTGGTCAACCCGTCAGTCTGCTCGCCGGCCGGGGTCCCGAGCGCAAGGCTCGTCTCGTTTTCTGCCGTTCTTTGCACCATGATGATGGACACGGGACAACAACAACAACATCAAACGGCACTGCACGGCAAGGGCTGGCTGGACGTGTCCTTCGGCGACGCAGCCGCAGCGGAATTCAATCGGAAATATGTGATTCTGGACAACGGCGTGCTGTGGGTGTACAGGTAAATGGATGGAAGAGCCGTGTGTCGCGCGCGTCCGCCCATGTGATGTGATCGCGGCAGCGGCCGCGGCCGCGCCCCGCGCCTCCCAGCCACCGGGCTCCGCGAAACCAAACCAGCTTGTCTTGTTGTTTATTCGCTCGGAGCTTTATTCCAGCTGTCAGTATAGCGCCCCCCCCCCTCCCTTTTCGTCCGTCCAGCAGTCCGGTCGCGGGGCCGCGCGCACACCGACTGGCCCGAGTGCCGTGCCGTGTGTTGACGTGTGTGAGCGCGAGTGTTTGAGTCTCAAGTGCAGCCCCAGCGCGGCGCAAGGCGTGCTGTGCGTGACAGCAGCGGGGCGAGGGCTGAGCTGAGCCGCGGACAGGGCGACTGTCAGGTGCAGCGTGTCGGAGCCATGGGCGCCGGACAAAAAGTACTGCCCAACAAGGGCTGGCTGGACTTGGCGTTCGACGGCGGCGGCTTCAATCGGAAGTGGACGATCCTCGACAACGGGGTGCTCTGGGTGTACAGGTAAATCGGACCGTCGTCACAACAATACTTTCGGTGACGCTTGTTTGAGAGTTTGAAAGAGGGGCGGTCGCGGCGCGAGTGTGCATAAAGAGGGCGCAAAGGGGGCGTTGAAATAATTAATAATTCATATTTATTCCGTTGTGGTCCACCTTTGTCCTACTGTGAATGCCGTTCCTTTAATTGTTTTGAAAGTGATTTGCAAAGGCGTCGTGTTTTTCTGTTTCCTTGCGATCTGATTGAGAGATCAAAGTATTAGCTTATGTAGGGTATGTACAATGTCGCTTAATTTGCCTCATTGGCGGATTGCACTGCGAATTGCGCGGAGACCAAGGAGACCCCGAGCGCACTCGGTGAGGGGAAGGTCAGGAGGGTCCTGCCGGTCCTCCCCCCCTCCCCCTCAACCTCCCCGCCTACGACAATCCGCTGGGGGCAGTGGCGCGATCTATACGCAACGCAAGAGACAAGGTAGGTCCGCCTGCGCTAGGGTTGAAAATTTCCCAAATTTTTCGGAAAATTTCCCAAAACTTTCCGAAAATGTACGGAAAACAACGGAAAACGTTTCAAAATCTGTGAAATTATTCATTTTCCCCGGAAATTTTCCGTCGCTTTTCCAGAAATTTTCTGAAAAACTTTCCAGGGCTTCCAACCAGGAGCACTGCTAACGAGGAAGCGTTTATCTGCGGAAAGTATAGGCCTGCTCATTTCAGTCGGCGCGGCCAAAGTCAGAAGTCAAGCCTCTCGCGCCGCGAGCTCTCAGAGCGCCTGGTGGGTAGGCAACAACTCGCCCGCTGTGCACGCGTACACCGCGGGCCGGCCTACCCCTAGTCTCACAGGCGCCGAGAGCTCTCAGAGCGCCTGGTGGGTAGGCAACAACTCGCCCGCTGTGCACGCGTACACCGCGGGCCGGCCTACCCCGAG